TTTCTGCGTGGGACACCCCTTCAGGCTGTTAGCAGACATGACTCCTCAACTTTGGATAGGACTGTAGGCCCAGATGACTGTCTTCTGTTTTGTAGCCCATCCAAGCCATGGCAACACTCCTTCAGTGTTGGAGAAAGGGTTGGTGTGAAGCTTCCAGAAGCCGGGACCTATATATGGGAATTCTGGATCTAGGCTCAGATTAAGCTTGGTGGCAGGGTGAGGGAGAGGACAGCTGGTATGCCATTGGGTCCCTAGAACCCAGTGTCCACTCTCCAGAAGGTGAGGCCCCTCCAAGATACATGTCATTTGTGGTTTCCTATGGTAGGATTTGGCCTTTGGACCTGATAACTTGTGTCATTGGACTGCCATTCCCAACATGCCAAACAGTGACCGTTCTCCATGGTTTCACGAGGGAGGGACACCAGGCCAGATGCCTCTTCCCCCACTTCTGTCTCCAGCTCCAGTCTCACTTTCCACGCTAATTTCTTCATTACCAGGAATTAGTTTGCAAATAGCAGAGGAAACTTCAAGGTCTGTCTTCCTAAGGAGGCTCATCAGGCCCCATAGAAATTCAGATCAGAAGCCTCAGTGTCCCTGCTGTTCAACAGGCACCCATGCTCACGTGCCAACACTAATTCTTTTATAAATAACTTGATCTTCATCAGGCGCGTATTATTTATAATAGCTGTTGTATTATTTAGATGTCAGCGGTGTCATGTTAATTACAGCTGCTGGGGCTGTCAGTGGTGCAGAGGTTCAAGGTGATGCAGGGGACCACAGCCTTCATTCTCTCGTCCTCCCGTGCCTGGTTCTGAGTGGGCAGGTGATGGACAGCCAGCCGACACGTGCAGCAGGCAGTGGGTATTATGTGAGTTCCTCTCTGTGGCCAACAGCCAGCCTGAGGGCTTATGAGTCAATCTGAGGTGGTGGAACCTGAAACCAAGTCTGCTGGTGAGGGGAGGCCTCTTGCTAAGAGGGGAGTAGCCAGTGCTGCGGATGGGTTCTCAGCCTCAAAGGTGAGGTGTGTGTGTGTGTGTGTGTGTGTGTGTGTGTGTGTGTGTGTGTGTATGTGTGTATACTATGTAGGTATAATATTGTGGGTGTGATGTATGAGTGTTTGTGTAGGGTGTGTGTGTGTGTGTGTACTATGTAGGTGTAGTATTGTGTGTGTGATGTATATGTGTTTGTGTAGGGTGTGGAGTGTGTAGACTATGTGTGGAGTGTGTGTGTGTGTGGTGTATGTGTGTTTGTGTAGGGTGTGGAGTGTGTGGAGTATGTGTGGAGTGTGTGTGTGTGTGCTATGTAGATGTAGTATTGTGTGTGTGTGGTGTATGTGTGTTTGTGTAGGGTGTGGAGTGTGTGGAGTATGTGTGGAGTGTGTGTGTGTGTGTGTGCGTGTGTGTGTGGGGTGCCCTTCTGTGTCACCTGCCATTGTCACAGTCAGGTCCCACTGTGAATCTGACTACTCTAAAGCTACACTGACCTGGTGTCAGCCACCAGCCATGTGTTCTCTTAAGTTCACTCATTTTCTAGTTAAGAACCCAGCAGAGGTGTGGACCACCATATTCCTGTGTGTCTCACCATATTCCTGCCCCAACCCCTGGTTTTTCGGTGGCTGTCTTCTTTAATGGAAGCCACAGTGCTGTGAGGTGGGTCATTGTAGGAACCATGACACATGGCCTGTGGCCCACATAGCACAAGCTTGCTTCTCAGTCATGGCATGGGCGGCTTGGTCCCCCAGAAGCGTTGCTCTCTGCTGTACAGTGTGATCCCCTGCATTCTCAAATTAGTTTGTGCTTGCTGTGCCCAAACTCTGAACCCCAAGATCACCAAGAGACCTGATCCTATGCAAAAGCAGAGTCTTTAATTTTACAGGCTAACTCGGTTCCCTCTCGGTCCACTAGACACAGCAGGTGAAGCAGGAGGACCTCGAGCAGCAGTGGGGCAGGGAATATATTAGGGTAGAACAAGGGGTGTGTCTGGAGTCCACAACAGTCTCAAGGTTGGTGCACTAACTGTCCTGAGTTGGTTTGCCAGGGGTAGCTGCAGCAAGGTTGCTATGCTTAGAGGCCCTCCCAGGGCAGTTGCTACGCTCTGTATTCCAGAGCCCTCCAGCTAACTTCTGATTGGTTCCTTGCCATATGGAGAGTATCTGGTGTTTATTCCCAGTAATTAGGGAAGGTCGGGGAAGGGGGGCTCAGCACATGTTGCTGAGTCAGAGGCCTACATCTTGCTGGGTCTTTTCTGCAGCCTGTCAGGGGCCTGGGTGAGGGTCTGGGTCCTTCATGCTTATGTTTTGGTCTCCTTTCTTAAAAGGTCATTCGTCATATTTTCTCTTAAACACCCTGACTGCAAACATTGTCCCACTCTGAGGTTCTAGAGTTAGGACTTTAATATAAGACAGTGGAGTCAACTCCTTAACAAGTCAGGTTGCCTAATTTATAGCCAGAGTAGTTGTAGAGAAGCACATGGTCAGTCATGGTAGCCTATTAGGGAAGACTCACACATGCCAAGACTTGGGGAATCATTGCTGGCCTTTGGGCCTCAGTTTCCCCACTATGCCATAAGCATGTGATTAGTTCTTTCATCAGCTTCTTCTGGAGATGGAGGAGTGATTGCCATCAGATTATGGGCATCGCTGAGTGGTGTGTGTGGGTGTCTCCACTCAGTTGTCTCTCCCTAACGCTGATCCTGCAGCGTGGACATGCAGGACCTGCCCAGCTACTCAGACCACTGGGGCAAAATGCAGGGTTAGGGTAGACGGCATCTGAGGTGCAGACAGTGGCTTTGTGCGGGGAAACACGGGCAGGAAGCAGTGGTGGATTTCCTGCAGGAGGCACCTTCATGGAACCATCCAAATCCAGGCCTCCCTCTGAGGAGGAGGGCTGCATGGTGCTGAGAGCCATTCCATGGATTTCAAAGCCAGCCCCACCACGGCGTGAGGGAGGCCGGGAGGAGGTGGATGGACCAAACATCAAGTCACCTGATCTGTGGAGGAGGACCCTTGCTTTGGGGCAGTGGCTCTGCTTTCTCCTAGAAGGTCCTGAAGTAGCAGCTGGAGGTCTGTCCCACACCAAGCCTCTCCTCTCCCCCTTGTCTCCGGAGAAACCTCACCTCACTGTCTCTAAGTAATTTGCATGGATTTGCATACATTGTTGCCTGGAGCTCTGTTTGTTTCTGAAGAGGCATCTTTAATCCTCAATGTAGTTACCCCCTCAGTCTCTTCTCTGCTGCCTTTGTCCTGACCCAGCCTCCTCCCTTGTTGGATTTTTTTATTCTAGTTTCTCATAATCATGCCTCAGTGGAAGGTGGGGCTTCTATTTTTATTTTTCATTTCTCACTTAGCAGCTTTCTTCTGTGGGAAGCTGGGGGCTCCCCAGCCTTTGGCAGAGCAGACTGGGGATGGTGACACTTTGATGTCCCAGTTGCTGGCAGGCATCTGTCACCCAGTAGGCAAGATGGCTGCCCTAGACTTTCTTGGCTTTCAAATGGGAAGAGACAATGAGGGAGCCCTGGGGATGGGGGCCAGTGTGTGGTCTTTTGCCTTTGGTGACTGCAAAAAAATGCAGGCTTAGAGCCTCCGGGCCCCAGGTGGGATGCTGTCCAGGTCTGGGTCTGTCCCTGTACACATCAGGGAGGCACCATCAGCAGAGGGACGGGGGTTTGCCTGCTGCTGCTGGCTCCTGAAGGCTGTGATCTGAAGTCACTTTACCACCATCCAGTGGCTCTAGACACCAATGCCAGCTGGAGCTCCCTGCACCCACCCCCACCAGCCTGCTCTCCTGTACCTTGGGATTTCTAAGGAGTCTTGATAGGGTGTGAGTCTCCCTCCCCAAGCTGGCATTTGAGCCCTGAGGACCTTGGCTAATAGCAAGCCCTCACTTCCACTCACTGTTGCATGGCTCTCCCGTTCCTGCCTGGCCTGCTGTCCTTGTGTGTCCATTTGGTCAGTGTGAGAGCGCCCCAGGCTGAAGTTAGAGCGGGCAAACCCTCTCTTTAAATGAGGAGTATGCAACCATCCGTACTGCAATACGGTACTGCAGCTACACATTAGTAACGAAGAATTGTAAGATCAAATTCCAAAAAAGTTTTTGCAAAAAAGCCATCATTTGTATGTATATATGTATGTGGTATGCATATATTTGCATTGCTTGGGAATACACATGTATGTGGGTACAGATGAACATGTGTGCACATGCATATGGAGTTAACCTTGTGTCTTCCGTGATTATGCTCCACCTTACAGATCGAGGAGTGGTTTCTCCCTGAACAGCAGATTGCCAATCTGGCGAGCCTCACTAGCCAGCCTGCTCCAGGATTCCCATCTCTGCTTTCCAAGTGCTGGGATTACAAACAGGCTGTCACATCCACCCAGCATTTATGTGGGTGCTAGCGATCCAAACCCGGTTCCTCACATTTGTGTGACAAGTACTTTTACCCACCGAGCTCTCTCCCCATCCCCAAATTCATGCTGAAAGTACATTTATGGTTTTGCGTTGGGCTTCACAACTAACCTCAGCTTCCTGTAGTGTCCAAAATGTGCTGAAATTTATACCCTGAGCAGGGCATGAGCGGTGTGAAAAGTTTCTACACCCAATAAGCCTCTCTGCCACCGATGAAGCAATCCAAATCAGACCAGATCAAACTGAGTTAGAAAAAGCCCCCATTTAATAGATATAATGCCCCCAGAGGAGACAATCATCTCTGGGGAGGGGCCACCATTTATCGGGCTTTTTGAGATGCAGCAGGGTTTGGAGGGAGATGGGGAGAGACCTGGGGTGGAACTTCCGCCATAACATCCCAGACTCTGGTTTATGGACGCACGAGTGTTCTTGTCTGGCTTCTTCCTGCTGACAAGGGATGATATGGGGGAGGGGAGTCAGGAGTCAGTGGGATCACGCGCAGTGGGTGGTATGAATGAAGAAGCATTTGGTCAGCTTCTGTCCTGTAGACCTCAGGCACCTGTTCCTCAAGGAGGTGGAGAAGGCAGGTTGCTAGGAGAAAAAATAGATTGTTGTTGTTGGCCCTATGAATGGGGCTAGCCATGGGAAGGGTGACAACTGCCAGAATGAAGGGACTGGAGAAGTGTCTGGTATACTGAGGAGGCCAGGGTGAGTGAGTGAGGCAGGAGCAGATGTGTCCTTTGTTGGGACATCTCGGAAAACCAGATTCCAGTTGTTGGGTAGGTTTCTTTTCATGGTACAGGTGAATACCAGCACTTGGGGAGCTGAGGCAGGAGGACTAGTTAAAGGACATCTGGGGCCACCTAGTGAGAGGGACCTTGTCTCTAGAAAACAGAGCCAAACAAAGCGAAACACAGAACAAAGAAAAAACCTGCTCAAAGCACAGCTTCTGTTCACTGTGGTGGTGTTTCTGCGTGCACAGTTGGGTGTGTGCATGTGTGTCTCACCATTGTCACTGCCACTCACGGGCTCGTCCCACCTCAGGCTCCGCCCCTTCCTCTCCCCAGCCTCCATTACACTTTCTGCCACCGTGCAATGCTGCTCTCCGGACACCATGCAAGGAACTGCCGCCAGAGAGGATTCCCCATGAGAGAGGGACCACACAGCACTTGGGATTTCGTGCCGGTTATTTCACCAAGCGTCTTGTCCTCAGGGCTTACCCCGTGGGTGTCCCCTTCCTGGCTGAATTGCAGTGCATATGAACTTAGCATGTTTCTGCTCCATGCACTGTCCACAGTGTGTTGACAGTTGTGAGCAGTGTTGTTATACACGCAGTGGAGAAACCTCTGTTAGAGCCCTGGATTTCAATTTTGTGTGTGTGAACAGATAGGCAGAAGTTGAGTTGTTGGGACCAACAGTGGTTGTTAACTTTTCAAAGAGCCACCAGGCTATTTTCCATACCAGCTGCACCGTTTTGTGTCCTGCTGGCCGAGCATCAGATTGTTTCTCCACATCCTCACCGACTCTGGCCACTTTCTGGCTGTGATAGTAGCCGTCCCTGGGGGCATGTGGGTGTTTCATGATCTGATTTGTTTTTATTGATTGGTGACTGTCTTTTTGCCTGCTGGTGGCTATTTGTACCTTCTATGTAGAATGGCTGCTCAAGTCTTTCCCACTTCTTTAAATTGGTTATATATCCTTTTGTTAATTCCTCTGACTGCTCCTTGGTTCCACTTTCAAAGTAAGCCAAGTCTGGATGGGTGTGGGGATCCAGGAATTCTGGTGACAGTGGGCATGGTGGGCGTGGGAAACCAATGACTAACAGATATGATGCTGTGAGCTTGGTGACACTATTGGCGCTACTGGTGGGATGATGGTGGTAATACCAGGGACCAGATTGTGCCCTGCTTAATTGGCCAGAGTTCTCTGACTCCTGGCTCCATAGGGGTTTGGTTTGTGAGTGGAGGAAGGATTAAGGGTCCTGCAGCTGTCACCAAGTCTGGGGACAGGATGACAGGCAGGCGGAGAGGAAGTGTTTATTGAGGACAGGCTTTAGAAGCTGATCCCTCTGGTTTGGAGGAAATTACAAGCTGGCCGATCAAGCACAGTCCCAACCAAGTCTGCAGCCGCATCTGACATTCATCCGCCTGCATTTTGACATTAAGAAACAATCCTGAAGTTGGGATTTGCATAAACCCTCAGAGGGGAGGGGTCACGGAGGGAGATTGAGCACCAGAGAGGAGCTCTGGGAGAGGGGACAGCTGTTTTAAACTGTTGCTGGTTCTAGAGGAGGGAGAGATCTCCTGCTGGCTGGGGCCATTGTCATTTGAAACAGCGCAGCTGGCTGGGGCAAGGGCCTCTGTGAGGCAGTGAGTGGGAGTCCCCAGCTGATAGGAACCACAGCTGAGGTCTTGACTGTCTTATTTTCTTTGTGAAGGTGACACATTGGTCACCCACTCTCCTAGGCAGGAAGACCACGATACACTTGGAGCTTGTAGTTTGTGGCAGACCCACCTGTGAATTGTGTCATTAGGATGGAGTCTTCCTCCACAAGACTTGGTCCTGTACAGGGCTCCTGGCGTGGTGGCAATGCGGTAGAATCAGTGACCCGGTTCGACCCATGGCTTTTGTCCTATCTACTGTCCTGGTTCCCAGGCCGCTACCCCGACGCTGGTGTGCCTCCTTTCTTGACTGAAGTGTTCCCTTGGCCTCTGTGTTCTAGAGGTCTTTCCAGGCCCCTGGTCCTTAGAGGAACCCTTGGGGTCCTTTTGGACCAAGTTCTATTCTCTAGTACTAATGGGTACAATGCCCCCTGTGGTAGCCAGGACCATCTGAGATTCCTCAGTGTGGAAATCTGCCCTGGTAGAGCCCAGAAGACTTGGTAGTGTCCTGAGTCAGTTCACAATCCACCAGTCCTAGGTGGCCCGGATAGTCATGCAAAGGCTGGGGTTAGTGAGAAGCAGGGACTGGAGAGAGGCTGCTCCTGAGGTGGCAGATGAAGCCAGGTAGAACATCAGAGAGATGCTGGGCAGTCAAGGCTAGACGGGGCCAGGCAATTGGGCCTCTCTGGTTCGCACAGGCATTGAAGAGGCAAGCAGAGTCCTCCTGGATTCTACCCTCTGGGCTGCCGGCTCACCCGCAGCTGTCACCAACATGTATCTTTGATTTCAGAAACTTGCAGGCTGGGGCTCTTGGAGTGTGTGTGTCAGATAAGATCCTAGAGGGGTAGGGGTGATCAGAAGTGTACCTTGGTTACGTGGCAACTCTTCTAGGGCAAAGTGTGGGCAGAGATCAGCTCCTCTCACCTTGGAGGGAGTGCCCCCAGGTGAGTGGACCAGAGCAGAGGCGTTGGCGTCTACCCCATCAGTCTGTTTGCAGTGCACCAGCCACGTGCCATCTGTAGGCTCCACACCCTCTCCGCCTCTTCTGCTATTCTGGGCAGCATAGGGCTGCCACTTAATAAGCCAGAGGCGGAGGCCATTATCGATCCGAAGGCCCTGGCTGCTCATAGCACAAAAAAAGTCAATTTTCCCCTTGAGCTCCAAGGATAGCTATCGAATGCCTACTAAGAGCCTGTGTTGAGGGCCTTGCCCAGTGGGTGGTAGACGGTGCTGGGAGAAGCTAGGTCATCTGGCCCTGCTCTGCAGTCACTGTCCATTTAACAGGGACATGCTGAGCTGGTGGCCCGTGGGCATCATCTCATCCAGGCCTCGACTCACACTTGTCTCCTGGGACTTAGGGAGCTTAAGGAGTTTGCTTGAGCCCAGCCAGCGTGAAGGATTCACCCAGCTTTCCTAACCCCAGAGCCCAGCCATACTGTGTCCTGCTAAGTCAGCTGAAGGCCAGGTACAAAGGCACTCGTGAGGTCAGGGGTCCTCTCTTTCTCCATGGCAACAGCGGCCCTACCATGGATATGGATGGCCGAGGCTCCTGTGCATTGACTCTGCCCCTGTGGCTATGGGCTTGCCTCATGCCTGGTGGCAACACCATTGCCTTGTGAGGAGCAGGGCACCTTCATGGGCATGGCCAGGAAGAGTGGCACTGAGAGAGCTGGGTGGACCAGCTTATGTCAGGTGGATGACTTCTCTGGGCCTCATAATGGGGATCCTGTCTGTATTGGCAGAACGTGGTGTCCCCGGGCTGCCGTGTGAGGCTGAGAAGCAAGAGCGGGAGAGTCTATGCTCTCTCTTTTGCTGTCCTGTAACCCAGGGCCCATGTCCCCTGCACACCGCCTGTACTCCGGTGCAGGGTTCTCCTGCCAAGGAAATGCCAGGGAGAAGACAGGCCACACCCACTGGAAACAGTTCTAAGGGTTTTTCTGCTGGTGACACCTGCTTGTGCAATGGTCTGGCAGGATACTGGATGGTGGCAGGTCCCTCGGGTCACTCCAGCAGGAAAGAGTGGAGATCTCTTTCAGAGCAGGATTCAGAGGTGGCCTGCGAGCACATTCTAAGTGACACCTGCTTGTGCAGTGGTCTGGCAGGATACTGGATGGTGGCAGGTCCCTCGGGTCACTCCAGCAGGAAAGAGTGGAGATCTCTTTCAGAGCAGGATTCAGAGGTGAGCACGGTCTGCCTTTTGGGTGCACGTGCCTTCCATGATCTTGAGGTGCTTGGGCACAGAGACCTCTTTAGGACGAGGCTCTGATGGATCACACAGGGCTGGCCCAGGAGAATCCTGTGGTGGGGAGGGGAAATGTCTCTTCCACTGACAGTGCTCTTCAGAGTCGCCTTCATACGACATAGATCTTCCAGCTATCACCCATCCCTTACAGCTCTAGCTACCTCTTCTCCTTTAATCCCGTCACCCACAGCCAGATTCCTTCAGATTGCCCCCTTTCCTTCACTCTCTCCATTTCTCCATCCATCCATCCATCCATCCATCCACCCATCCATCCATCCATCCACCCACCCACCCATCCACCCACCCACCCACCCACCCACCCACCCATCCATCCATCCATCCATCCATCCATCCATCCATCCATCCATCCATCCATCCATCCACTCAGTCGTCCTTCCTTCCCCTGTTCACTGATCCATCCACCAATCTATTCCCTTTTTTCTTTTTCCTCCTCTTCTTCTTCCCTCTCCTCCTCCTCTTCCTCCCCATCCTTCTTCTCTTCCTCCTCCTCTTTTTGTTCTCCCCCCTCTCCTGCCTCTCCTCTTCCTCCTTCTGTGTGTATGCATGCGTGTGAATGTAGTGTATGTACACATGTGCCTGGGAGTGTTTGCCTCGCTGTGTGGCCAGAGGAGGTTGATGTCAGGTGCCCTGCTATGGAACTCTCTATTTCATTCTTTTGAAACAAAGTCTCTCAGCGAACCCGGAGGTAGGCTAGTGTCTAGCAAGCCCTAGTGATCTGCTCCTCTTATATCTGACTCCATTGTGCTAGGGTTACAAGTGTTTGTCTGTGTACAGCCCCACTCGGGTATTTATGTTTTTACATGGATGATCTGAACTCAGGTCCTCATGCCTGACAAGCAACAGCTTTTATTCACTGAGTCATCTTTCCAAGTCTCCTTTTTTCTTAAAGAAAACAGGCAGCCAGGCGTGGGAGCACACACCTGTAACCCCAGCACTTGAGAGATCCCCAATCATCAGAATGAAGGCAAGAGGACCAGGAACTCAAGACTAGCCTGGACTATATGAACCTTGTCTGAAATAAGGAAGTTAAGAAAATAGTATTAACCAGGAAACCCAGGAGGCAGAGACAGGAAGAATATAAGTTCAATGTCTTTCTTAGCTAAGAACTGATTTTGACCTCAGACTATGCTGCATGACCACACACATTCGAAGGAAAGGAAAGGAAAGGGAAGAGAAGAGTTGAGAAGAGAAGAGAAGAGGAGAAAGAAAAGGATAATGAAAACAGATTGGAGACCAGCGTGGCAGAATATTGCCAGCTGATAATAAATGATGGGTGGCATTTCATAACGCCACAGTGTGGTCTTGTGGGTATCATGTGACTTTCTCTTTTTTTTAAGATATTTTATAGGACATTTAAACTGCACTGTTCACCTTCTCCTGCACTATCTGATCATGCCCCCATGAATCTTGGCTTGGGCATTCTGCTGTGCAGAATGAGGTCAAGCTGTCCTGGAGTGTCTCTGAAGGGCTTTGACACACTCTGGCTATGGTGGACCTGTCCCAGCCCTGAGGCTCAGATCTTCCGGGATGGCCCTCCTGTTTTGATAGGCTGGGTTGTGGGTCTGTGTTGAGGGTAGGGCTGCCGAGGTTTACAAAGAAAAATATAGAACAGTAGGGGAATTTGAATTTCAGATAAGAAGCCTACAGAGGTTTTTCCCTTAAAAGAATGCTTCCCACAGTATTTGGAACAACTATACTGCACAGTTAAGGGCTGATCTGACCCGAAAGAAAGGCTTGGCTCTGGGTCCTCAGTCACCTTTTTGCCCTTGGTTTGTCCAGCCTGATAAGTGCCTGATTCCTGGAGAACTCTGGGTTTGGCTGCACTCAAGAGAACGAAGGGAGACCATGGTCAGCTCCAACTCGGTGGCTGACCCTGAATAAGCACCCTACACTCCAAGTCTCAGGGAGCCTCAGATGTGCCGTGAGCCACGTCTGCCATCACAAGCCATCACTGGGACAAGGAAGCACAGTCTGTATGGGTCTCCAGAGAGTTCAGGGGCGTTCCTCACACATGTCCAGGTTGGCTAGCATCACCGAGATCAGCCATGCTGTCAGCACCGAGGCCGTGCTGAATCCAAGGAGTCCCATACTCTCCAGGGAGGTGCTAATCTGGGAGTGGTCCTGAAGACCCTAAATTCACAGTTAGTGTCAGAAGTGAATCCTTCTTGGGCATTCCTGGGCCTCCCGAGTCTTGGGGTGTGGGGCTGGATTCTGATGCGTTTGCCTGGGAAACACTCTCTGCAAACAGCTCCCTGCCCTTCTCATCTGGCCCTGTCCCCCCATTGTTTGGAACTGGCCCAAGCCTTGCCTGTCTCTCTGTGTTGAGTTCCCAGACCTGGGCCCTCAGTTGTTCTGTAGCTGGAGTGAGGTATACAAAGCCATGTGCCTCCAATATAGTGTGTACTTCCTCTCCAGGGTACCTTGGAAGTCTGATAGCCTCTGCTTCAAGTCTCCTCCCTAGGGATGGGCTTGCTGCCTCCCAAGCTCACCTGTGGTTCAACTGCTCATTCCCCTGTGTGCAGAGCACCGCCAGCCTCCTAGGTAGGGTGCTGAAGAGCGAAGCATGATGTCACAAGGAAGAGAGACAAAAAGTTCGTCTGCACAGAGTGGCAGGAGATCTAGGGCTCAAACTGACCGAGTGGCCATGCGCTGTTGTTGATGGCTGCCACCTGAACACGCCTCAGTTCTCCTTTCTCCGTAAAACACGTGGCTTGCACCAAGGCTCAGGGACTCCTGTCACAAAGAGGTATGATTTTGTGAGTCACAGCGCACCCTTTCCGGAACAGCAGTCAACTGTCAGCGGGGGGCCACATAGACACACAGAGGCTACACCCTGGATGCAGTGAGGGGCCTGGGGCTCAGCAGAGTCAAGGAGGCTAGACTGGGCCAGGAAACTCGTGCCCAAGCCACCTCCCCCGAAAGGAAGCCTGCAGGCTGGGAAACAATTAGGACTGCTCTGCCTTCCACAGTTGTCCACAGGGGTTTGGTCAGCTCTAGAGAGGGAGGATGGCCAAGAGTAGCCCTTGTTAGGCCTTGACAGCAATCCCCCCCCCCACCAACACACAGTTATGCACTATGATGACAGGACTGCAGGAGAGAGAGGGGACATAGAGGGGACATGGCCACTGCCATTCAGCATCTCTCTGGAGTGGCTCCTAGGACTCAGCATAGCCTCTGTGTTCACCATGGCTGATCTAGGTGATGCCAGCCAACAGGTGTCAGGAACTTTCCTGAACTCTCTGGAGGCTCATACAGACAGTGCTTCCTTGTCCCAGGAAGGATAGACCTCTGCCAAGGACGAAAAGACACCCTCAGACTTCTGCAGTGGGGATCAGGGAAGCTTCTGCTATGAAAGAGGCAGGGACAGGAAGCGAGCAGCTTGTGTGGAGCGGAGGGTGGTGGAGGACTCCAGGGAACCACACACAGCGATGGAAGATCGAGATGCAGACTGCAGCAGTCACCTGCCACGGGCAGCATGCTGTTACCAGGTGGAGAGGTGCATGGGTCCTTCAGCTCCACACGAGGTAGGCAGAGACCAAAAGAGAGCCATGTGAGATGGGGTGGCCTGGGAAAAGCCACCTGGCACTTCTGACTGTGAGGGATGATCTGAATACCAGGGGTGACCATGTGTGTGTGTGAGTTCATCAAGCCCTGAGCAAACATGTGCTAATTCTGAAAGCAACTGGTGGTTAATCACGTCTTGCTTGGACACACCTAGGGAATCTATGAAGCAGGGTGTCTGAGAGGACATTTGGGCATTTTCAGATCCTACTTGATTCTGAGGGCTTTGCTTCATCAATAGTTTAGATGTTTAAAGAGTCAAATCTTGATGGACTATTGGGGAGCAGCGAAACTGTGGAAGGTGGGGTACACTTGGAGGAGCCATGCCACTAATGGGGTATGTCTGAAGCGTGTAACTTGGCCCTGTCCCTTTTCTTCTTACTTCTTCTCTACTTCCTGTCTTCCATGAGGCGAGCTGGCTCTGTCTCTATGGTGCTTTCCGTACCACAGGCCCAGGAAGCAACAGTGCCAAGCACTGGGTGAAACCCTCTGAAACTGAGCCGAAGAAACTGCTCTACCCTTCAGGGTTTTGTTTTTGTTTGTTTGTTTGTTTCTGACAGGTATTTGGTTACAGTCACTAAAGCTAACTAAATGAAGAATCAAACTTATTTGCTGGTGTTCTGGAAAGTTCTTCAGGAAGATTTCAGTGCTTGTGTGAGTAGAATATGAGAACCAGGCACATGCTTCCAGCTGACAAGCTTGTCCTCCAGTTTTGCCTCCATGAAACAGGACAGTGTTCTTTTGGGCCACCAACAAGCTCCCAAATCACAGAGACCATATTAGTTACAAATGCTCAGCCTAGCTTAGACTCGTTTCTTGCTAGCTCTTAGGACGTAACCTGTTTCACTTTGTTTTTGCCTTGGGGCTTTTAGCCTTCCTTCCTTCCTTCCTTTCGTTATGTATGTATGTATGTATGTATGTATGTATGTATGTATGTATGTATGCATGCATGTATGTATGTATGTAGTGTAGTGTCCTATTTTCCCACTTCTTGTGTCTGGCTGCCTGACAGCTGCCTGGCTTCTGGCTCCGGGAATGTCCCGCCCTTCTTCCCTTGTTCTCTTCGTTCTTCTCTTTTGCCTGGATTTCTCCTCCTCTTTATTCTCTCTGCCTGTCAGCCCTGCCTATCCCTTTCCTGCCTAGCTGTTGACCATTCGGCTTTTTGTTAGACCAGTCAGGTGCCGTAGTCAGACAAGGCGTAACACATGCAACCCATCTTTACACAGTTAAACAGATACAGCGTAAACAAAATGTAGCACATCTCTGCACAGCTAAAGTACTGTTCCACAGCATAAGCACATCTTTGTCCAGTTAAACTAATGTTGCACAGCAGCACAGCATGAGAAGTGAGGTGGAGGTCTGTAGCGTTAGTAGAACTGACCGCGTCTGTATCCAACACCGGATTCCTGAGGCTCTGCAGTGTAGAGGAAAGCTGTGTCCTTGAGCCTCCATGGGCCTGGAGTCTTCCTCCACTGTCTAGCAGGGACCGAAGAGCTGGACTCCCTGAGAGAGTCCGGCCACAGATGGCTGCCCAGTTTCTAGGCTTAAAACAACATTACGGCGGAGGAACTGGGACTGGTCGGTATGAACTGGATCACTGTCCTGGAGGAGTCCCAACTCCACTCCATCTGAGTGTGTGTCTTGGAGATAAAGCCCAGTGAAAACTTTCATGATGAAACCCTAGTTTCAAGGTGATCTTGATAAGGACAGGGCGTTGCCAAAACAGCTACTCTTAGGATGTGTATGCCAAGGAGGTTCTTCAGACAGTGACAGCATGAATCTTTTAAACAGAAAAGGATAAGTCTAGAAAAGAGTTATAGTCCACCAGTGTTTCATCCTTGGGCAGTGGGTGGTGGTTCGGACATGTCTGTGTGTCTGCTCTGTGCTGAATTCTTCTCTCTGCCACTGAGAGTTGTACTTTCAAAACAAAAGGCCTCAAGACAGGAATATTGCTCATTCAGTTGTCCTTAATGTATTAATTCATTAGACATCTAATGACCTCTTTCTTCCTTCCTGTACACTGTAGAATATAAAACAGGGTGGTTTTGTGTGTGTCCAGGGAAGAGGGCAGAGCTGACAAGGTAGAGTGAGGCGGGTTCCCAGAGCAGGATGGAGTGGGGTGGGCTCTGGAGGAAGGCATCTCCTGGTGATGTTGGTGATGTGTGTTGGAGGCTGAGCAGAAGATGCTGTGGTGACTGATTCTCTTCACCCCCAACCCCTGCCACAGTGGGGGGCGGGTGCTCTGAGCCCATATAATTTTCCTCTAAGCCAAAGGTGCAGCTCGCTGAGGTGATGGTCACATGAGATGGGAGGAGAAGGAGATATTGCTGTCACTCACTGCTCCAGGCCTGTCCCATCCTCCTCCCGTGGAGAAGAGTCTGCCATAGTGTCCAAGGAGGGTCTGTGGCAGCCATCTGGACACACTAGGCTTGCATCCAGTTTTGTAGAGAGTCAATGAGAACCGGGGCTGGGTAGCCCGAGAGGAGAGAGGAGCAAGATGGACCTGGGAAGCTTTCAGTGTTCACTCACCCTCACACATTGAACAGTTCCTTTTGGTGGCTAGTGGGTGCTGGGTACCAGGCAGCCGAATGGATGAGGTAGGCCTGGTTGCTTCCCTACCTCTGTGACTGAGTACAGGCTTCTCCATGGCAACCCTGAACATCTCCGGCCTCACCCTTCCAAGCACTCAGCAGAGTTTCCCTGGAGTTTCAGGCTTTGCATTCTTGACAAGACCACATGTACTCCTTAGAGCTGGTATGTAGTACTGCAGTACTCCTTGCCCACAGGCAGGGGCTGTGGGGACTCTCTTGTATTGTTGGGGAGGGTGGTTGTTGCTGGCTAGGTGTGAAAAGGTTGTTGGATGGCTATGGAGATCTGATGGGCTTAGCTCATAGCTTGTGTCTCTTGTGAACTCAGGGAGCTATGGATAGGAAAAGCCAGGCATGGTGACCTCCTCTTCTGTGTCCCTGCCCTGCTGTGGGCTGGTCATGATCTGATTCCTGACTCAAGCATTTTCAAGATGCTTAACCCACATGAGAACAAGGGATAGAAAATGGCATTTGCTGTGGATGGGAGAAGCCAGACACATGACAATCGTCACACTGCTGCCAATAGCTCAGTGGAGAGCATGAAGCCCTGGGGTCAGCACAGGTAAGATACTATCTCCTTAGTCCACTGCAGCCCTGGCTGTGTTCCTTCTCTTTCCCCGAGAGAAATCAGGAGACCTTAGGGCTAATTCCTGCTGGAGACGGTAGAGTGTAAATCTTCAGTAGCTTGGCAGGGAACTGACTTCAGTCTAATAGGCCTGGGCTAGGATTTCATCTGACAACTCCTGCCTGGTGCTTTCAACTGTTCAAAGGGTTTCAGAGGGTGGTCCATGGGGTCTTGCTCAAAGACAAGCGGACACTGGGGTTCAGGTCCTCACAGAATGGATTTCTGAAAACCCCTGGGGGGAGGATGCTGAGTCCTGTGATATCACCGCTACCCAGTGTCTACTTGCATGAGGCAGAAGGGGAGAATAGTTAATATCACCATTCAGACCCACTGGGCTGGATCCCATGGGCACGACTGTTGGGGTTAGATTCTCTCCATCTCCCCAGGGGATTCAGTGCATGGGGACCCAATCCACCCAGCTCTGATGAACAGTGAATCTCCATGGCTGCTGCCTTTTGATAAACTTGGGCAGACTGGAGAGGTCATAGAGTACAAAAGGCATGGGAGAGGACACAGGATCACAGCAGCCAGGCAAACTGGGATGGGGTTTCTCAGAGGCATTCTGGCGGCTCAAGAGATCAACAGCACCAGCACTGGATGGCTGGTGGCTGGTCAAAGTCAAAATCATGGTTCCCAAAAGGCAAAAGGAAGAGCTAGAGTGGTTTAGGGTGTGTGTGAGAGAGAGAGAGAGAGAGAGAGAGAGAGAGAGAGAGAGAGAGAGAGAGAGGGAGAGAGAGAGAGAGAGAGAGAGAGAGAGAGAGAGAGAGAGAGAGAGAGAGAGAGAGAGAGAGAGAGAGAGAGAGAGAGAGAGAGAGAGAGACTTGCAGTGACCCCAGGTGAGCTGGAAGGCAGCTGGCATGTCTATCCGCACATCTCCAAGGACATAGCAGCTCCTTCCCTTCACTTTGAATGGTTGCCTGGACCACTACCTCCAGATGATCTTGCAGGGATTGGTGGGAATGGAATAGGTTGATTGGTTCTAAGCACTTGCAGGGATTGGTGGGAATGGAATAGGTTGATTGGTTCTAAGCACTTGGGTTTTTAACTTATCAGGATATTCTTTTTCTGTCACCATAAACCCACCAATCCGTCCATCTACTAACCCACCACTCCTCCCTGCCTCCCCCTTTTTAAAGTCTTTGAGACTCTCACGTTTTGTACAATGTATCTTGATTGTAGTCACAACCTGCCCAGCTCTTCCCATATCCACTGCATGCCTTCCCTACTCTACTGATTTTGTATTCTTATTTTTTTATTTTTAAATAAAATTTTACATTATAAACAAGGTTGCTTCACATGCCAATTCCAGGTCCCTCTCCATTTCCTTCCTCTCCTCCCTCACCCTCCCACCAACCCCCCAATGTCCCCTCATTTCCCCAGGGAGGGTGACGCCCTCCATGGGGGTGTCCAAACTCTGTCATTTCATCCCTCCCCCAAGAGTCCAGGGTGAGAGTGCATCTCTCATTGTTGGATGGGATACACAAAGTCCATGTGTATACTCGGGATGAATACTGATCTACAACCAAAGGCTCAATAGATTACCTAGGCCTCCTCACTGACACCCACATTCAGGGGATCTTGATCAGTTCCATGCTGGATTCCCAGCCATCAGTCTGGGATTTAAGAGCTAACCCATGTCAGGTCAGCTGTTTCTGGGGGTTAAACCAGCCCAGTCTTAACCCCTTTGCTCATCAGTCCTCCCTCTGTCATTGGATTTCTTGAGTTCAGCTCAGTGTTTAGCCATGGGAGTCTGCCTCTGCTTCCATCAGCCATTGAATGAAGGTTCTGTTTCCCAGACTCTCTGGCCATGGGATTGTAGGCTGGCACTCCCCAGATCTATGTCTAAAATCCATATATGAGAAAGTACATGCCTTGTTTCTCTTTTTGGGACTGGGTTACCTCACTCAGGATGGTTTCTTCTAGTGCCATCCATTTGCCTGCAAATTTCAGGATTCTATTTTTTTTTCTGCTGAATAGTACTCCATTGTGTAAATGTACCACATTTTCTCTGTCCTCTCTTCTGTTGAGAGGCATCTAGGTTGCTTCCAAGTTCTGGCTATTACAAATAGTGCTGCTATGAACATAGTGGAAGAGACATCCTTGTTGTATGAATGTGTATCTTTTGGATATATGCCTAAGAGTGGAGTTGCTGGGTCTCGTGATAGGTTTATTCCCATTTTTCTGAGGAATCTCCGTACTGATTTCCAAAGTGGCTGTACAAGTTGGCACTCTCACCAGCAATGGAGGAGTGTTCCCCTTTCACCACATCCTCTGCAGCATAAGTTATCTTGGTGTTTTTGATTTTAGCCATTCTGACAGGAGCAAGATGGTATCTCAGAGTTGTTTTGATTTGCATTTCCCGGATGGCTAAGGGTGTTGAGCACTTTCTCAAGTGCCTCTCAGCCATTTTATACTCCTCTATTGAGAATTCTCAATTTAGTTCTGTAGCTCACTTTTTAATTGGACCCTTTGGTGTTTTGGAGACTTGCTTCTTGGAGTTCTTTGTAAATTTTGTAGATCAGTCTTCTGTCAGATGTGGGGTTAGTGAATATCTTTTCCCATCCTGTGGGCTGCCTTTTTGTCTTGCTGACTGTGTCCTTTGCCTTACAGAAGCTTCTCAGTTTCAGTAGGTCCCATTTATTAATTGTTGACATCACTGTCTGTGCTACTGGTATTATGTTCAGGAAGCAGTCTCCTGTACCAATTCGTTCAAGGGTACCACCCACTTTCTCTTCTAAGAGGTTCAGTGTGGCTGGATTTATGTTGAGGTCTTTGATCCATTTGGACTTAAGTTTTGTGCATGGTGATAGACATGGGTCTATCCACATTCTCCTACATGCCAGCATCCAGTTATGCCAGCACCATTTATTAAAGATGCTTTCTTTTTTCCATTGTATATTTTTAGCTTCTTTGTCAAAGATCAGATGTTCATACATGTATGGGTTAATATCAGGGTGTTCAATTCGATTCCATTGGTCTACCTGTCTATTTTTGTGCCAATACCAAACTGTTTTCAGGACTACAGCTCTATAATAGAGCTTGAGGTCAAGGATGGTGATGCCTCCAGATGTTGCTTTGTTGACTAAGGTTGTTTTGCCTATCCTGAGTCTTTTGTTTTTCCATACAAAATTGATTATTGTTCTTTCAAGGTCTGTGAAGAATTGTGCTGGTATTTTAATGGGGATTGCATTGAATCTGTAGATTGCTTTTGGCAGGATTGCCATTTTTACTACATTGCTCCTACCTATCCAAAAGCATAGGAGATCTTTCCATTTTCTGAGGGCTTCTTTAATTTCTTTCTTTAAAGACTCAAAGTTCTTATGATACAGGTCTTTCACTTGTTTGGTTAGCATTACCCCAAAGTATTTTATGTTGTTTGTGGCAATTGTAAAGGGTGATGTTTCTCTGATTTCTCTCTCAGCCCTTTTATCATCTGCATATAGTAGGGCTACTTATTTTCTTGAGTTGATCTTTAGCCTGCCACTTTGCTGAAAGTGTTAATCAGCTGTAAGAGTTTCCTGGTAGGGTTCTTTGGGTCATTTATGTAAACTATCATATCATCTGCAAATAGTGAAAGTTTGACCTCTTCCTTTCCAATTTGTATCCCCTTGATCTCCTTTTGTTGTTGTATGGTTCTGGCTAGAACTTCAAGTACAATATTGAAAAGGAATGGAGAGAGTGGAAAGCCTTGTCTTGTTCCTGATTTTAGAGGAATTGCGTTGAGTTTCCTGTCCATTTAGTTTGATGTTGGCTGTTGGTTTGCTGTATATAGCTTTTATTATGTTTAGGTATGTCCCTGTTATCCCAGCTCTCTCCAAGACCTTTATCATGAAAGGGTGTTGGATTTTGTCAAAGGCTTTTTCTGCATCTAGTGAGATGATCATGTGATTTTTGTTTTTCAGCTTGTTTATATGGTGGATTATATTGATGGATTTTCATATGTTGAACCATCCCTGCATCCCTGGGATAAAACCTACTTGATCGCGGTGCATGATTCAATCCAATTTGCCAGTATTTTATTGAGTATTTTTGCATCAATGTTCATGAGGGTCTGAAGTTCTCTTTCTTAGTTGTGTCTTTGTGTGGCTTGGGGATCAAGGTTATTAAAGCCTCATAGAAAGAGTTTGGCAAAGACCCTTCTGCTTCTATTGCGTGGAACACTTTGAGAAGAATTGGTATAAGCTGTTCTTTGAATTTCTGGTAGAATTCTGCACCGAGGCAATCTGGACCTGGGCTTTTTTGGTTGGGAGACTATTTCCGTAGGGGTTATATGTCTATTTAAATTGCTTATCCGTTCTTGATTTAATTTTGGCAAGTGATAGCTATCCAGGAAGTCGTCCATTTCCTTTAAATTTTTGAATTTTGTGGAGTACAGGTTTTCAAAGTATGACCTGATGATTCTCTGAATTTCCTCAGAGTCCGTTGTTATGTCCCCCTTTTCATTTCTGATTTTGTTAATTTGCATGTTCACACTCTGCTGTTTGGTAAGTTTGGACAAAGGTTTGTCTATTTTGTTCATTTTCTCAAAGAACCAACTCTTCGTTGCATTGATTCTTTGTATTGTTTTCCTAGTTTCTACTTTATTGATTTCAGCCCTCAGTTTGATTATTTCTTGGTGTCTACTCCTCCTGAGGGAGTTTGCTTCTTTGTGTTCTAGAGCTTTTAGCTGTGCTGTTAATTCTCTAGTATAACTATTCTCCAGTTTCTTCATGTGGGCACTTAGTGCTATGAACTTCCCGTGTAGCACTGCTTTCAAAGTGTCCCATAGGTTTGGGTATATTGTGTCTTCATTCTCATTGAATTCTAGGAAGTCTTTAATTTATTTCTTTTTTATTTCTTCTTTGATCCAGGAATGGTGCAGTTGTGCATTATTCAATTTCCATGAGTTTGTAGCATTTCTGCAATTTGTGTTGTTGTTGAATTCTAATTTTAACGTA